CAGCAGCGGCTGTGAGGAGGAACGTGCCACTGCACAGATCACTGACAGGTTGTCGGTGATCTAACAGCGACGCGTTCCTCCTCACAGCCGCCAGCGACAGCCAGCAGCCTGAGATGCCATAGCGACACAGGCGGCCCGCACGGCTTCAGGGGGATGTCCTGGCCGGGCCCTGGGCCCCATAGCGGCCGCCTGGGTCGCTATGGCGATTGTTACGCCGCTGAGGGCCGTTCACAAATGCCAACATTGTGCGCGATGGGAAGGATATGGGAGACGGGTTTGGTGGGTATTACAGTAAACTCCCCATTATCCGGCTCTCAAGCAACCAGCACTCTCAAGCAACCGGCACTCACTACAAAATTTAGTTAGCAACTAAAATGTATTTGGGTGCAAATAGTAACTTGACGATTGTCCCGCAATCAGATATGTGTCCGCCGCCCTGACCTACGTTCCCTAATGGCGCCATCGCCCCAAATCACAAACCATGACGCCACCAGCCGTTCTCTTCTCACCATTGTAGTATGACAGGAAGTTGGTTCTGTCGGGTCTCCTCATCATGGAGTGTCCGATGGCGATGTTGTACATCGCACGGGAAGAACTGCTGGAATCTGCCACCGGGATCTCCTCCATCAGTCTCATAATGCCGCTCAGGTGGATGTTTGTGGATGAGGCCCCTAGATAGAGAAAGGCAGAGCGATCACCTAGGGGAACCCCTCCACCAGCAGCCACAACCCACCAATCACAGCCCACCCAGAAGATTGTTCTGCATGTCATATATATTTATACACACTATATTGCCAAAAGTATTGGCCCCTCCTCCTCCAAATCATGTGACTCAGGTGTTCCGTGACATTTCCCGGCTACTAAATATTCCGCCGCGGTCACCTGTTACTGGGATTATAACAAAGTGGAAGCAAGCGGGAACAACAGCAACTCAGCCAGGAAGTGGTCGGCCGCGTCACATGACAGAGCGGGGTCAGCGCATGCTGAAGCGCACAGTGCGCAGAAGTCTCCAACTGTCTGCAGAGCCAATAGCTACAGACCTCCAAACTCCATGCGGCCTTCAGATTGGCGCAACAACAGTGCGTAGAGAGCTTCATGGAATGGGTTTCCATGGCCGAGCAGCTGCATCCAAGCCGCACATCACCAAGAGCAATGCAAAGCGTGGGATGCCGCGGTGTAAAGCACGCCACCACTGGACTCTAGAGAAGTGGAGGCGTGGTCTCTGGAGGGACCAATCACGCTTCTCTGTCTGGCAATCCGATGGGCGTGTCTGGGTTTGGCGGTTGCCAGGAGAACGGTACTTGCCTGACTGCATTGTGCCAAGTGTAAAGTTTGGGGGAGGGGGGATTATGGGGGGGGGTTGTTCAGGGGTTGGGCTCCGCCCCTTAGTTCCAGTGAAGGGAACTCTTAAGGCATCAGCACACCAAGACATTTTGGACAATTTCATGCTCCCAACTTTGTGGGAGGAGTTTGGGGACGGCCCCTTCCTGTTCCAACATGACTGCGCACCAGTGCACAAAGCAAGGTCCATAAAGACATGGATGGGGGAGTTTGGGGTGGAGGAACGTGACTGGCCGCACAGAGTCCTGACCTCAACCCCATAGAACACCTTTGGGATGAATTAGAGGCGGAGACTGCGAGCCCCTCCCCCAACATCAGTACCTGACCCCGCAAATGGTCCAAGATTCCCATAGACACACCCCTAAACCTTGTGGACGCCTTCCCGGAAGAGGCGGAGCTGTTATAGCGGCAAAGGGCGGAGCCAACCCAATACTGAACCCTACGGACTAAGACTGGGATGCCATTAGGGGGCGGAGCCAACCCAATACTGAACCCTACGGACTAAGACTGGGGGGCCATTAGAGTTCATGTGCGTGTAAAGGCGTCCCAATACTAATGGCAATACAGTGCGTCTGAGGCTCCGCGTCACTCTCTGTACGTAGAATCGATCGGTCTGTTTATAGTACAATGATCAAAGGACATTTTTAAAGCTTCTCACCTGATTGGTCGGGGCTGTTCCCGGGGCTCCTGGTGGGCGGGATCCACTGTCTCATGGGTGTAGGATTGGGGCTCAGACTCCTCTCCTCTTTCACCTCTACCATCTTCCCTGGCATGCTGCCACCTGCAACCAATGGGAATACCGTGTGGTAAGTCAGATCCTCCCGCACTCCGGACTGGTATGTCCCTTGTGGTGGGTGGAGTAGTGGCTGCGGATGGCACCGCTTCAGATTCAAGTAGTGAAATATGTCACCAGCACACCATGGTCCAATCTCCAAGAAGTGATCACTTCATTGATGTGCACACGGCATGCTGGTGACATACTTTACTACATAAATCAGATGACATCACAGAACGTGGACCCCGCGAGGGAGGTCACATGGGGGGGCAAATCATCAATATGAAAGAGTTCTCCGTCGCTCGGCCCGGCTGACCGGCACAGGGACTCACCTTGTATGCCGGTCCGGGGGTGACACGGCTCGGGGAATGTGGACCCGGCGGCAGAGCCACGTGCAGGAGGCGGAGGGGCCCAGCAGTTGGGGATCTTCCGTACGCAGTTCCTCACACTCATCAGAGGACATTTTCCATCTGCAGACAAAACTCCTCGTAAGCCCCCGAAATCCACCACGGGGGCCACACAAATATATCCACAGAGCCGATTATTACCCCTGACAAGCCAACGATTTACATCATCTCAGGGGCATTGTTTTTTGTGGCCCCCCCTCCACCCCTCTCCACTCCCCGCCAGCCACCCCTCTCCTCTCCATTCACCTCTCTCCACTCCACTCCCCGCCATCCACCCCTCTCCACTCCCCGCCAGCCACCCCTCTCCTCTCCATTCACCTCTCTCCACTCCACTCCCCGCCATCCACCCCTCTCCACTCCCCGCCAGCCACCCCTCTCCTCTCCATTCACCTCTCTCCACTCCACTCCCCGCCATCCACCCCTCTCCACTCCCCGCCAGCCACCCCTCTCCTCTCCATTCACCTCTCTCCACTCCACTCCCCGCCATCCACCCCTCTCCACTCCCCGCCAGCCACCCCTCTCCTCTCCATTCACCTCTCTCCACTCCACTCCCCGCCATCCACCCCTCTCCACTCCCCGCCAGCCACCCCTCTCCTCTCCATTCACCTCTCTCCACTCCACTCCCCGCCATCCACCCCTCTCCACTCCCCGCCAGCCACCCCTCTCCTCTCCATTCACCTCTCTCCACTCCACTCCCCGCCATCCACCCCTCTCCACTCCCCGCCAGCCACCCCTCTCCTCTCCATTCACCTCTCTCCACTCCACTCCCCGCCATCCACCCCTCTCCACTCCCCGCCAGCCACCCCTCTCCTCTCCATTCACCTCTCTCCACTCCACTCCCCGCCATCCACCCCTCTCCACTCCCCGCCAGCCACCCCTCTCCTCTCCATTCACCTCTCTCCACTCCACTCCCCGCCATCCACCCCTCTCCACTCCCCGCCAGCCACCCCTCTCCTCTCCATTCACCTCTCTCCACTCCACTCCCCGCCATCCACCCCTCTCCACTCCCCGCCAGCCACCCCTCTCCTCTCCATTCACCTCTCTCCACTCCACTCCCCGCCATCCACCCCTCTCCACTCCCCGCCAGCCACCCCTCTCCTCTCCATTCACCTCTCTCCACTCCACTCCCCGCCATCCACCCCTCTCCACTCCCCGCCAGCCACCCCTCTCCTCTCCATTCACCTCTCTCCACTCCACTCCCCGCCATCCACCCCTCTCCACTCCCCGCCAGCCACCCCTCTCCTCTCCATTCACCTCTCTCCACTCCACTCCCCGCCATCCACCCCTCTCCACTCCCCGCCAGCCACCCCTCTCCTCTCCATTCACCTCTCTCCACTCCACTCCCCGCCATCCACCCCTCTCCACTCCCCGCCAGCCACCCCTCTCCTCTCCATTCACCTCTCTCCACTCCACTCCCCGCCATCCACCCCTCTCCACTCCCCGCCAGCCACCCCTCTCCTCTCCATTCACCTCTCTCCACTCCACTCCCCGCCATCCACCCCTCTCCACTCCCCGCCAGCCACCCCTCTCCTCTCCATTCACCTCTCTCCACTCCACTCCCCGCCATCCACCCCTCTCCACTCCCCGCCAGCCACCCCTCTCCTCTCCATTCACCTCTCTCCACTCCACTCCCCGCCATCCACCCCTCTCCACTCCCCGCCAGCCACCCCTCTCCTCTCCATTCACCTCTCTCCACTCCACTCCCCGCCATCCACCCCTCTCCACTCCCCGCCAGCCACCCCTCTCCTCTCCATTCACCTCTCTCCACTCCACTCCCCGCCATCCACCCCTCTCCACTCCCCGCCAGCCACCCCTCTCCTCTCCATTCACCTCTCTCCACTCCACTCCCCGCCATCCACCCCTCTCCACTCCCCGCCAGCCACCCCTCTCCTCTCCATTCACCTCTCTCCACTCCACTCCCCGCCATCCACCCCTCTCCACTCCCCGCCAGCCACCCCTCTCCTCTCCATTCACCTCTCTCCACTCCACTCCCCGCCATCCACCCCTCTCCACTCCCCGCCAGCCACCCCACTCCACTCCACTCATCTCTCTCCACTCCACTCCCCGCCATCCACCCCTCTCCACTCCACATCCCACCATCCTCTCCACTCCCACCATCCTCTCCACTCCCACCATCCTCTCCTCTCCCACCATCCTCTCCCACCATCTTCTCCTCTCCCACCATCCTCTCCTCTCCCACCATCCTCTCCACTCCCACCATCCTCTCCACTCCCACCATCCTCTCCACTCCCACCATCCTCTCCTCTTTGCTCTCCCACCATCCTCTCCACTCCCACCATCCTCTCCACTCCCACCATCCTCTCCTCTCCCACCATCCCCTCCACTGCCACCATCCTCTCCACTCCCACCATCCTCTCCTCTTTGCTCTCCCACCATCCTCTCCACTCCCACCATCCTCTCCACTCCCACCATCTATCTATACCAACGAGTTATAATATATTACGTTTTCCTCTGCCGATCAATGGGCACTGTGTGGCATCCTACCAAATGTTTCCCCCGCCATGTGTAGAAACCTAAAACACAATGCTCACCATCTGGGGGGATCCACAACGTACCCATAACGCGGGAGGGGCTGGAGGAGTCCAACGTCGGCCTCTTCGCCACACTCGCCCCACCTGGCGGGTGAGAGGGATCTGGAACACAATGAGACAATATGGGAATGACGCACCGGATGCCTCCCGTCCAAACAATGCAAAAAAACCTGCAAACTCAACTCAATCCCCGAGGGCAGAATGATCAACAAGTAGAGCTAAAGTATGATGTCATGGGGGGCGGGGCTAACGAGAAATATATGTGATGTCACAGTGGTTGCGGCAAGGATTTTATATACTCGTAAGGGATCAGCATATCCCAACATCCGCTCACCATGAGACATCCAACACGGAGAAACTTAATGATGAAATGCATAATATGTTGTATTAAGATGCCCCCCCCCCGTGCCCCCCAAACACCCCATCCCCCCACCCAACACACCCCCATTCTCCAATCTATTCCCTGTGTGTCACCCCATTGCTGCCGCCAACACAACTATTATATTGGTGTCAGTGCTGCATTGAAGTAAACTCCCGGATTCTGATATTCCCTGGATAGGGTGAACCTGGAAGTGTTCCGCTCTGAGCACTTCCAGGTTCAGGGCTGTTAAACTCCGTCCCACTATGGCCAGAGAAGCAGCACAGTCTGTGCTTGATCAGCTTCCACAAAGTGCAGAGGTGACATCAGGGGTCTAATAGACCCCGAAGAGAAGGACACATACAGTACGCAATCACATGGGGGGGGCTCATCAGCGCACCTGAGATAATAAAGTAAGAAAAAAGTAAAAAATGTAATAAAATAAAAATACACTCCCAAAACTTTTTTTTACAAGCGCCCAGTTTCACGGATGCACGCAATTTTTAACCCGGGCATGTCGGGTATGCGTTTACTCGTCGTCGCCTCGTCTTTTATATTTTATAACAAAAAAAATTGTATTTTATTGTGTTTTGGGTCATGTAAGTGCACTTTTCCCTAAATTTTAGGGGTTTAATAAGGAGTTGCGCTAATATCGTGCAACATAAAAATTTGCAACTGCCGCCATTTTATTCTGCAGGGTCGCGGCTTTCAGAAAATATATCGTGTTTGAGGGGGGTTGAAGCAATTTTTAGGCCTGAAGGGGTTAAGCACTGGGTATCGCTGCGCATGCCGGAAGGGGAGCAATAATTGTCGGGCCGTCATTCACCGCTGACTCTTCAGTGTATCGGGGGGGCTCGCGTGCTTTTGAGAGTTGGGGATCACATTGTGTTTTTGGGGATCACATTGTGTTTTTGGGGATCACATTGTGTTTTTGGGGATCACATGGTATCCGTGTGCACTGCAATTCATTTACGTGTTGTATTTTTTTACAGAAAATATGGATTTCATGGAGAAGGACGATTTCTGTGCGACATGAAAAATGGCCGCCTCCGCCATTGTATTCTCCGCTTTCAGAGAACAGAATTCTGGGGGTTTTAGGAAATCTTCCAGCCTAAAAGGCGCATTATATCGTGTGCTAAAAATGTCTGGCAGCAACAGGGACTCTGCAGCTCGTTAAAATTGACGCATTTGGGAGTGTTGGTGGCCTGGCCCCCCCCCCCTTTGGATATCGGGGGTTCCCTCCGCTGACCTCTACGTGTATAATTTCTCATTAGTGATGATAACCCTCCAGTCCGCGTGCGCCTTCCTACCGTCAGAGTGCGGCCTCTTCGCCCCCAGCTCCGCTCTGCGCTGCTCCTCCGACTTCTGGAATCCTCTGCTTCCCAAGTTCGGCCCCGCAGAGGGCCGTGTGGGGCCCCGATCCGGACATCTCTCGGATATATGAGCGCCGCCTGCTGGTGGCTCTGCTGTAATACAACTCAATCAGTCAGACATTTCCAGAGACAAGGTGACCTCGCAGACTCCCCAATACCTGTAATGTGCGTTTATGTCTTCACCATCGAAGCCGAGTGTAAAATACCATAAAATCCTTTTCCTGGGGTCCATTGTGGGACACGAGTACCGCCCCTCTGCGTATGTGATCAGGAATTGGTTTCCTACAGAACTGAGGCAAGCTCATAGTGGGAGGAGTTATCCTGGGCCCGCCCACATTTGGGTTATTATTTGCCAGTGTCTGATCCTCCTGTAGGCAGCAGTATAACCCAACAGTCGAGGCTTCCTGTGTCCCTCAATATATCCTCTTACATTGAAGGTCAATGTGAGAAGGACCTCCGTACATTGGTGGTCAGTGTGAGAAGGACCTCCGTACATTGGTGGTCAGTGTGAGAAGGACCTCCGTACATTGGGGGTCAGTGTGAGAAGGACCTCCGTACATTGG